CTTAGCTGCATTTTGGGAGGTCAGTAGCTTAGTTGAAGCTTAAGAACTAATGATTTCACCCATTTTCTTTGCGAGGAGCACATCCTCTTTCCAAAGGGAAGACGCCAAATCCTCACACGACTGCCTACAGGAGAGTGGAGATTGGAGTGGGATTCTGCCTGTCTCATGTACGTTTCAGATGCTCTGTGACACCCCCTTTACCACCCCAGAGACCTTGAAGTCTCTTGTAGGATCTGTGTCACCCATCTCTCCTTGTCTTAAACCTTTCTCGCCTCCCTCCTGGTGGAACACCTGTTCCACACCAGCTGGCCWTCCTGAGGCACCAAATCTGTACTCTAGGTTGTCATTTCCTTCTAGGTGCTCCTAGTAAGAATGAGCTATAGAGTGCTCTTGTTCCTTTGTGCTCATTGCAAACTGCAACAAGCAAATGGTGAAAAAAATCACAAGTACAGGATGTCCCTCAAGTTAGCTTCAWTGAGATTTTTAAAGCAAAAAGAGCCAATGTCCAGAGACAGTAAGACGGATGTATATCTGCCTGAGTTTGAGTGTGCAGTCACCAAAACAGKAAAATGTGCTGCCAGCATGCAGCCCAGTTGAAGCTGTCCGAGCTAGAGGCAAATGTTTACTCCTTAATCTCCAAAAATAGACACACTTGAGGGTGCCAAAAGCACCAACAAAAGCGTTAAGACTGTAGTAATCATGGCAGTAGTGTATAGTGGCATTTCAAGGCAATGAAGCAACCTGCAAAATTAGCAATGTGTAGCCCCTATGATGACTACAATGATGAACACAGTGTCAGACAGTGGAAACCCGCCTGCTGCTAAGACAAAGGTGTTGGAATTTCCAGACACGTTAGTCCCATGYGAAGGTAATCACCTGCAATAAATAAAGCAGTGTTGGTTTTTTGGGTTTTTGTTTTGTTTTTAAATAGAAAGCAGATTATGATGTATTAGGCGCCAACTGTCGCTGCAGTCATGGCCCAAAGTGTTGGAATTGCCATTATGAAAGTGCTCATAAAAGTYTGGTGGGATTGGAAAACTCTGCCTGTTGTTGCTATCTGCTTTCAGAATCCCCTCCTGTTGCACACTGGGCTTGTTCTGCTATATATTTCTGCTAGAAATGTCTTGATGACTGTTAAGGAAAGGATGCTAGTAGTAAACAGCAGAAACCTTGAATGTGGTAGAGAGACTTGCAGAGTCTCTGTCCGCTCCAGGTGCTCATAGGAATTGGAACAGCTGAACAGGTAGCTTGCAGAGATACACAGACTGAAACTCTAGATGCAGACCTGAGGAAGAAAGAGCACTGCAAATGTTGCCACCAAGCAGATAAGCCGGTAGAGTCAATTCTTGGGACAACACATGTCCTGGTGGAAAGTTTTAAAAGTCCAGCTCAGCCACCTGAGCCATCATGACAAATACCATTAGTCCCTGATTCTGCTCTTCCCAAATTTTTGGTGTTTACTCCAAAGCAACATGAAAAAGTCTACTTCTGTGTACAGTGTTTTGTGCCTAGGCAAGATGGTATATGAAACACATATAGAAGCGTTGTGGCATCTTGCTCCATATTCCTTACTGAAGCTTCAGTTCTGAGTTTTGGAAGACCTCATTTTTACCCCAGCCTGGCCAGTAAAGATGGCAATTGTCACATTAAGTGACCCAGTTTTATGGGTCAGCTCATGAAAATAATGCAGTAAGAAATGTGGTCCCATGTATTTTTCAGTGTACTTTAAATTATGCTTCTGGAGCCAAATGATGCCTGTAATTGCATATTATAAGCCTATTCTTCAGAGATTTTTTTTTCTAAGTGCAGTTCTCACATCTCAGTGTTCAAACTGGCAATTACCTGTAATCAAGTAAGTGCCTTTTCTACCTCACTGKCCAGTCTGAGCCTTCAAAACGGGCAATTCAAATGTCTTTTTAAGGCCCTCATGTTTGAATTCTGGGGTCCCAGTTCAAAAGTGGAATACTGTCTATAAAACTTTTTATATCATCTACAGTAATATTAGAATCATAKTCCCTTGACCATCCTTAGAAAAACAGTTCTTGACACACTACCAGGATAAAAGAGGGAGAACACATGGTATCGGTAAAAAATGAGTTAACATACCACTCCAAGCAATAACATTACACTATATAGTGTAACAACAAGCCAAGAAGTAATAATTATTGGGAGTAAGTGGAATCAAGAATTGCCCCCAGTGTTGCATTATACTCCTTACAGTGGAAGAACCTCAGGCGCACAGTATATAATAACTAGTCTCACTGTCTATATAAAAACATTGATACAACCTTCTTTAAAATCTCCATTTTCCCTGTTAAACAGAGCGTAGCAGTAAATTGTACGAGCGCTGCTCAGTACTTTCAAATGTGTCCATGAGGTCAAGACCAAAAGGACCACAATGTTTCTTGTGGTGTCCTTTTGTAGTGGGAGTTCTCTTTGTTGAGCAAGGTCTTCATCGATGGCTCTGTTGCCTCCTCCACCTGTGCCCTGGGAACCTGAGGACCTGTCCTGCTCCTCTCTGACTCCACCAATACCAGCCTGTGGAGCAGGAAAGAAAGGTTTCTCCCTTTGAGAAAAGATGCTGCTTTTTATTGGACTTTATGTTGATTTAAGCCAGCAGAAAATATGCCCAAAGTCTTTTCTTTGGAGCTGAGGCAGGAATGAATAAGGTGATAGTTTCATTCTCCTGGCACAACAGGTAGCACATGGGCATCTGGGTTGTCCCTCTCCCATCACTCCCTGCCTGGTTCTTCACAGGGTCTTCTCCAGCTTTGAGGACACCCCATCCTCCTCTGGCCACCTGGCAAACCTCTTGCCTATGCCTGTGGAAGGCTCTCCAGCAAGACTTCATGTGAATCCATCCTATATCCCACACCTGGAGCATGGGGTTGGAGAGCTCTGCCCCACGGGAGCGTGGTGATTCAGCCAGGGCCCCTTTCCCTGCTCCTCCCCCAGATGAGTCACCATTTACCCTAAGCATCCAAGTTGCGAAAGGGGCGATCATGCCATGCTGGCCTCTTCCACAGCAGAGTCTTGAACTGGGAGCCCTGCTCTCCAGGACCACCAAGAGGAATTGCAACCCAAAAATGCCCTCTTCTTGCAGAGTCATGCTGGACAACAGAGGGAGATTTCTCCTCCCCTCATGACTGCCTGGATCCATCCTAGCTCTAATTTACCCATTTTTCACCTGTAATTTCCACCCCCCGCTTGAAAAGTAGGCGGTAAAAGCTAGATCTAGCCCTGAGGCAGAGCAAAGGAAGGGGTACGGGAAGTGGGAAGGGGTGGATGGATGGGTGAGGCAACTCAACGTGGGCGCCAAGAATGCAGTGAGTAGTTTTGAAGGGCACCACACTCGCCGTTTGGCAAGCCCCTTCCTCCTCTTTCCCCCCACATCTTCCCCTCCTGATCCAAGCAATGAAAAACAACTTCCTGTCAATAAATGCGAACAAAAGCTTGGACGCATCTTCAAAGTGATGAGTTATGTCGAAAATATGTTTCAGAGCGCTTTGAATGTTCCTGTAAACTGGAGGRAAATGATTGTTCGTGGCCCCTTGGCACTCAAGAAGGAGAGTTTATAAATAACCACTGCAGGTCTGCATGAATTAGTTTGGCCATGAGAAAAATGCAACGGGGAAGGGAGGGAGGGGAGAGGCAGAAGAGAGGAAGGCCTAAGAGAGAAAAGAAATAAAAAGAAGATTAAAAAAAAAATGTGGAGCATGATTTATAAAAGTTTATAATTAGCCTGTGGATGTTGCCTCAGGCCAGTGCCCAGCATGAGCTGGTCCTGCCTTGGGGAGGGTTCTCTGCCTCCTAGCGTGCCCGACGGAGCGGATGGCGGAGTCACACACGGATGCCGACGCTGGCTTGCGCGCTGCCGTTGCTGCATGGGACACGGAGGAAGGAAGAAAGCATACGGTTCCCATTGGTTTCCAAAAGTGAAAACATGTGCTGGAATCCCAGCCAGACATGCTTCTTGTTATTTTAATGAGAAATTCCATAATTAGTGGCAAAAAAAATAAAAAGAAGCTCCGCTGCAAGTGAAAGAAAACCCCTCTCTCTCCTCTGCAGCTCATGATGGACGCATCAAAGAGATGCGGTATTTTTACAAACATGCATTACTTGACAGGCTATGATGTTCCTTAATCTGTTTGCTTGAGGGAATTAAAAAGAAACATAACATAACAAAACAAAACAAAAAAAACCCCAACCAAATAAAAACAGCAGATTTTTTTTAACTTAAACAGTCCTTGTCTTAAATGAGCAATGCGCTTTCCACCTGTAATTCATTTCTCAGCAGTTAAACATCATTACAACATTAACAGCCAATCTGAACACAGAAGAGCTAGACTTTTTTTGTACAGCTATAAACTATAGGACATCAAACTGTACCTAATAGAGTAGGGGCAGGTCAGAAGTGACCCTTTCTAAACATTTACAATTCTCTGCATTCTTCTTATGATAGTATGGATTTATTTGAACTTTGATGCATATATGTACCCCAATAAATAAATAAAGAAATAAATTATAGGGTTTTATTAAAAACATTTCATCCCAGGTCTTTAGTGAAAAGACAGAGAAAAAAAATATTTCAAGAAGCCTTTAGCTGGTAATTTTTATTCATATCACAAAGCTGCCATGGATGGATTTGCTTGGATTCACATTCAAAAATAAAACCGTAGTGTTGCATTACATCTGTTTACGCACTTTGTTCTCCAAACATGTTTGACATCTAATTGCACAATTCCTTGGCTAGAGGGTTTGACACAGACCAAAGGCTGTTCTCAAAGCCAGCTTTTTTTTTTTTTTTTTTTTTTTTAATAGCAAGAAAGGTGTGCTTCAGTGGCTGATTGCTGGCAGATATCTTCTCTCACCTGCACCTTGTTTCCTGATTGCCTAGAGCACTGGTCACTGGTTGGGAAGGCATTTAAGAAATCATGTCTCTTGCTCTCAGGTATCTTTGAAAACCTAGTATATCATCTMTTGATGCTTGCTGCAAAGGACATGGGGCTCATAGCTGTTCCCTATTTTCCTGAGGACTATGAGAGTGAGTCTATGAAAGATACTGAGGTGGTGCTGCAAGTAGAGATAAGGAAAGATGAAAAAGTCTACTTCTCTGGGAGCACAAYGCTGCAAGGATGCCTTAGTGGAGTCAAAATTTGGGTCTATCATGACTTCAGGCTCACGATGTCCAGGGATGCTTCATGGTCTACAATAGATTTGGGTCAGAGCCCTTGAGTAAGGAGATAAATCAAGAACTATTTGAGTAATAATTCCTGGGAAGCCCCAGAATCAGAGTGATGAACCTTTGGATGCTCTTTGTAGTGTGGAGAGTTCAAAAGTGCTGGTAAGAAAGATTTCTTTTTTTTTTTCAAGAAAACTTGTCTTTTTCACAAGTTGATGTTTTCCATGGGGAAGAAATGTGATTGTGCTCAAAAACTTTCACATCCTTCTTTTTATATTTTACTGTATTTTATTTTGAGGGGTGGAGGTGAGAGGAACCTGAAATGAAACACTTCATTTTGGTCAGTTTGACCCTGTCGGGGAATATTTCGTTCTTTTGATTGAATTAGTTTCAAATCATTTCAGAATATACTTCAACTTCCCTTAGGGGAAGTGCAGTTCTGACTCCTTCTTTATTATGACTGTGCTCTCAAGAGGACCTCAATGCTCATGAGGGAAAGAGTCAAGTTTGTGCTGGCTGACCATGTGCTGYTCCCTGGGAATAATGTTAGTTTAAGTGCACCCCTGTATGGAGCAAAGAAGAGCCCCCAATAACCATAGGACGTAAAATGACCCTCCTACTCCAGTGCTTCATCTCAAGCAATCACTAATTATGAATTCTGCAGAAAGGGGTATAAGAAACAGAGCAACTATTTTGAGATCCTTCTCCTAAGTTTCTTTGTGTTTCCAGAGTAGCTCCATAAGACAGGGCATAGAGGAAAACTAGGTTTAATATAGTCATGAAAAACAACTTAGACTTTACTCATTTCAATTTCTATTTGATCTTCAGTATGTCAAACTATCTAAATAATGCTTTAATTCAACTATAGTAAATAATATATATTGTGTATATATATATATAATTTCAACCTTTTTTTGCTGTGTCAGGGCACAGAGCAAATACTGAAATGTCAGAATTTGCCCTATGAAGGGCATTCAGAATGTTATTTCACTGTAATTCGCATCTAAGTGGTGTCACACGTCTTAGGCAAGGAAGACAAAGAAAAGCAGAAAGGTGTACAAAGTTACTGATATTTTACTGCTGAAGCCATTGGTGATCATTACTCTTTTTGCTGGCTGGATCCTGCAATTTTTTTTTTCATTGTTTCTTCAGGTTTCCTCCAAATTGAGTGTGGGTGTGTTTTGTTTTGTTTTGTTTTTTAAATTTCACAGGTCAAATGAAGCATTTTGTCTTCCTTCTGTTTGTATTCCTTTAAAAAATGAGATAGCATATTTTGAAATGGAAATGGCTTGTCCCGACAATGCTTGCTTTCAAAAGCAATGTTCTGGTGGGGTTTTTGTTTTTTCCAGGCCAAGCAACTGACAGGATCCTTCTAAAAATGCTGGCTGAAGTGGAATAAGTATGTTCCAGCAAAATAAAGTAACAAGAGGAAGTCTTGCAATTTCATTAAGAGTGAACAGGGAAAATTGGGGAACATTTCCCTGTTTTACCTAGGGTCTCTGATCACTTAAGCAGCTAGTGCAAGGTGCAGTACAATTACACAACAGGAAAGATGATTTCTCTAATCAAGAATTTATAGCTTCCTATGTTTGTTTTACAGAGCTTATATATCTCCAAGGAAGATGTCACAGAGGCAGTATGAGAGACTGAGCTTCCGTGAATGACTTAATAAATTCACTAGAAGGAAGAGGACTACAAGTTCCTATTGTGTGTTCTACCCAGTCTGTGAACTGCAGAGCTCTGCCACAACAGGTAGATCTAGTAGACAGCTATGGACCTTGTAATAAAGCCTTTGAGCAGTGTAGCACACCTGGTTTCAACATCTGTCCTGAACCTTTTCATGGAACCTTGGCAAACCTTTCTGCAAACTCGATCCAAGTTTRGAGAAACCTCCATGAGGAAAGAATTATTGTTTTGGACAGAAACAAGGTGAAGATTCACCTTGAAGCATTTCACAGCTTTGGAGCTTGCTGTATCTGCCCATGCTCCAGGCTGTGTTTGCTGTGGGTTTCTTGGTGTCACAGATYCAAAGAATCATGTTGGCTGGAAGAGACCTCCAAAGATCATGTGCTCCAACCTCCTGACTCAAAACCTTACCTATTATTTCTCTAAAAGTGCAACTGATCTTTTACTCTAGAGATCCCCTCTGCTCTTCTGAGACATGACACACTTTCATCTTTCTTAATGTTGTTACCAGTCTCTCAACAAATAAGTCTTAAAATCCTGACCTTTTTGAATGTTTACTATAGGCTGTATTGAAGCCTTGATGACTATGATGCATATAATAGACCAGAGGAAACAAGGAATAACAAGTTTCGTTGCCATAGCAAAGGATGATCCAGTACTTTGGGATCTAAAAATATTTCCTTCCTATTAACCTCTCCATTGTATCTGCTCAAGGAGTACTGCTTGTATTTTTAAATACCATCGGGGGGAAAAGGAAGAAAGAATTAATTCATTATACAGAGAACAGAGTTTTGGCCTGGATGCCAAATAGAGTGGTAAGCACAGTGGCAGGTCAGGAGGCTAGAGTTGAGAGTGGAAGGATGGTTTCACAGTTGAAAGTCTGTGTTGAGATTTGGAAAGGCTTAGCTCTGTTATTGGCCCATCCACATACCCCTCACATGAGATTGGGATGATCCTTATGTTTTTCTACTTCTGATTCCTTCTGGACTCTTTTTCGTCTAGGTTTTCTGATGAAACATTTARTAAAGGCTGCTCTGTGCATAGAACCATTATAATGCTATTATTGCTATTATATATATATACACAAAAAAATTATATAATGCTATTATTATTATGCTGTAAAATGTGGTCCACTTGACAACAGGGTGTCCAAGGACACCACTTGACGAGGAACCATAAATGCTCTAATCTCATAGGTTTGAATACTGCTGAAGTTCCCTGAGCTTTAACAGTGATGGACCTAGCGTCCATGCATGCAGAGCTGGTAGAATTACATTGCCCATGAGCATTTCCAGTGTAAGCACGGAAAGTCAAAAAGATGGAAGAATTACCAGTCTCTCCCTAGTTCTGTACCCTTCCCTTCCTTGGACTATTCTGATCTGCTAGATTGATCTGTTTCCAAGAGATACCACACTCAGTTCATGGATGTAAAGTAGATTTATGTAAGAAAAGTGAACTCGAAGTACTTTATTGCTGTTTCTGATCATCCGTCATGTTTTGTATAGCATTTTAAACAGAAGTAGTCCTATTATTTCTGCAATTTCTACTTTTTCCTTAAAATGAAAGCTCTCATTTCACTGTTTTGCATTAAACTGCATATTGAGTTCTTGCTCTGCTGAGGTAAAGGGAGATGATAAATTTCAAATGGCAGAGTATGAGTTGGAGACCAAATAGGGAAACTCCTTGTTCCAGCCACTTGGGAAGAGCCTTGAAAGATATTCCTGGAACAATCTGCTGCTCTGTCAGCTCCCAACAATAGTCTTTGGGGTATGTGCAAGCGATCATTGCTATACCATAATGAGCCAGGAGGTCACCTGAGATGTGAAAGAAGGCTGAAGTCTGACTGCAATTGCTGAAATTGTGAAATCCACCTCTTCCTTGTCCTTGGCATGAAATTGTCAGGAGTTGTGCCACATGGCCTCACATCTACTCCAATGGAAAGGGCAACTAAGGTAGGACTCCAGGCAGTTGGCAGATGTTGGAAGCACACATCCACATCATCTCAGGCTTTGGCCCTGATCTAAGAGCTTACTGAAAACTGCAAGGTCTTCCAGGGAATAGCTGACTCTGTTCTTTCTCTGTTTCTTACGTTATGTTTTCCTAGGCATCTCTCTTTGGCACTTGTTGCAATCAAAATCTTTCTTTGGGTCRCGTTTGCTTACGTCTTTTGTACTGATCTTATCTCGGCACAGGTTGAAATCGGACAGTTTTGATTTTCCTTTCCTTAAAATGAAGTCAATGCCATTGGGTTACCGTGATATGTAGAAGAGTTAGGTTGAGTTTTCKAGCTAGTCCATGGCAGGGCACGTCTAAACTGAGTGGTTGATCATGGTTTGCCCCACTCTGAGTTGGRACTGGCAATGCTGAGCTGGAACATAACCCAAGACAGTGGAGAGTTTTCTAGTTTTGGGTGCTCAAATACAGCTATATCATTTCCTCAGAAGCTTGAAACCACGTTAGTTGTGGGTTTTCTTGTTGAAAGCTTATTATGTATAGAATGACCTCTGCAGTCCTCCACCATGAAGGTGGTTTGGCGGACAAATCTCCCTTTGCTCTTCACTGGGAACTTGTAGGTGTGTTGCAAAGCAAGATGGTCAGTGGGAATCTCTAAAACCACAGTACACGTTCCAGATAGACAAGCCACATCTGTGGCTATCCACAGCTTTCTCCATAACTCCTAGACTCGGCTTTTGAGGAGAGAGGAAAACAACAAAAAACAGTTGAATTTTTAAGTAACATCAGAAAAACCTGAATATATTAGTGAACCAAAGTGAGTCCTCCAGGACCAGTATGGTCCTTGAACTGTCCTCTCTCCAATTGTCATCTGGTACAGGCACATAAAATGAGCTGTGTAGCATAAGTGACAACCACAGGCTTSTCCTGTTTATCTTCTAAGCAGAATTTTGGCAAGAGTATTCAATGCCATGGCATGGAATTAGGTCTGTTTAGGAAAGCTGGGCAATTCTTGGATGAAGAAAAGAAAAATATCATTCAGATACTTTATAATCCAAAAAACATTGTTCTCAAATGAGCTTTTTCCAAGTACATTAGTGCTACATCCATTAATAATCATTGAATTCGAAGGGGAAAAAAATAGTCATTTGGAAGAATTGGAAGGGAAATCTACTAAAATAAAAAAAAATCTCCCAGTTTAATTTCCATTTTTTGTTGGGTGGTTTTTTTTTTTTTTTGAGTTATTTTTTGCTCTTACTAAAACTTTCAATGACCTACTTGTCCTTTTAAAAGACAGCTGTACAGAGTAAAAATGGGCTGTTTTGTTCTTCTTGCATTGTTCCTAGCAGCAGGACCCATTCTTCATTCTCCTGATTGAATGTTTCCCAGGGTGTCTAGACGTGTCGCCCCACCACTGAGGAGCCGAGAGATACCAAGGCTCATACGAAAAGCTGTAAAGACCAGTTATCTGTCTCAGTTTTTTCTCTCCCTGCAGAGCTTGGGAGTTGGGTAAAAATCAGGCATTTGGATTATGAGCAATGAGATTCCTAAAAATAAGCTTTTATTTTTCTCTTGTGTTGTTAAGTTTTTAGGTTATGCTGGGGTCATATTTTCTGCCTCTTCCACTGTCTGTCAGCAGTGGAAAACTGAGATTTGCACAGTCTAATATTCTTTTATAGCAGGACTTTGGACAACCATGCCAGAAAGTCCAAGCCTGGTGATCACTTAGCAAAATTTGGCAGGGCTGACTGGCTCATACTTCCTACCTAGGTATTCACTTCCCCTCAAGCTTATGAGTCCAAGACAGGTTTGAGATAGCTTTTCCTATTTTCCAGAGAAGTTCCAGGTAAAGGTACCTGGCCTAATATCCCAATTTTTTTTCAAAACACTTCTACTGTGTGAGTTATTTCTCTCTACCTTCTGTATTTTCCTGATAGGAGCCATTGCTGCCCAAAACCTGTTTCAGGTCACTCCATGGCRTTTTCCTTCCAGCTAAGAAGCAGAAAGCCATCCTCTAAGAATYTCAAGACTAGAACTTTGTTTAGGTGCACAAATGCTAAGCCACTGGCCTTTCCAGAGTGTCTTATCCCCAGACTTCATCCTACTCCTGATCCTGCCTTGTGTTTCTTGGTATCAGCCACTACATGGTGAGAGAAATAGTGTGACTAGTCGTTGTCTCAGTCTATGTTCAGCTGCAATGGTCCACATCATCCCACCATGACAAATGAGATTTAACATAGCCCAAATGAGATTTAACCAGCCCAAAGCTAATATCACATCTCCACTCACACCCTGGGATCCAAAAGACTTTTTGCTCTAGGGCAGGAACCGTCTTGCTGATGACTCGGAAAGCACTTTAGACAATAGGAGCACTACCCAAATAATAAATAGTGAGACTAATAATAGTCCTTATCCTTGCATCCCCCTGTAAGCTGCTCTAATTCACTGGGACTTGGCCAGGACCTTTCATCAGTCAACTATAATCTATTTTAGTCCTGTGCAGAGGGACCTGGCTGCGTTTCTCAGGCTTAGGCTGCTAATATGACTCATTCCCAGCTAATCATTTAGTGGCTGCAGCCAGGTGCTTCTGGGACTTGATGTCCTCAGTCCTGCTGCTATTCATACAAACCCAGAAAGCAGAAAGGAAAGGGTGATGAGGAGCACAAGCAGCTGGGTGCTGCTGTGCAGAGAAAGTCTCTGTGAGGGCATGAGAGACTCTTCTRGAGGGGTTTAAGAGGAAAGAGGTGGATGAAAGATTCTAAATGGTGCTGCTGTGGGGAAAAAGGGAATGTGGGATTCCAGGAACTTTGGAGAGATTTTCTGTGGACCCGTATCTGCAAGGGCCAGAGGAAGGATGAAACAGAGAAGAGATGTACGTGGCAAGGCCTAGTTGATGAGGGTGAGTGTAGCTAAGTCACAAAACACAACTGGTAGACGTAGCTCTGTCTCAGACCCATTTGCCTGCTCAAGCAACATGGGAAAATGATGTAGCAATGAATATTTGGGCACAGCCTTGGTGCCTTTGGTATTGTGGATGGGCAATAGCATAGGGAGGTTGAGCTTCCTTGGTTGGAGCTGGAAGGTGGCCAGGCCCTTGGGGGAATTAAGCTGGAAAAGCCCTCTTTCTGCAAGTAAACTCCATGAGCATAGACTGCTTGTTTTGGTGTCCTATGACCAACATATGTTGAGGAGGGAGTGGCCAGACCCATAGGGATAAACCTTGGCAATTTGAGAGAGAGGTGTCCAGGACTGAGGACCAGTCTCAAGACCTGTGGAGCCACTGCACATCCACGTTCCTCCTGACAGAGACAGTATTAGTGTCTGTGGGCTCTCCTTCAGCATGGAGATGTTGCTACTGCTGGCTCCTGCAGAGCTGTGGTCATCTGGACTTGGAAGAGAGGATCTGCGAACATGAAGAGAGGGAAAAATGTTGGGGAAAAAGGTCATGTACAAGGGGTGCAAGCAGCTTGGATTTGTGGCTCCCAACAAAGACTGTGCTCCAGCCTTGGGGAAGCTGTGGGGATGGGAAGGGGTATTCTTCTTGTCCAAGTGCTCTGCATGCTGTGATGGGATTCCAGCCCCTGCAATTTTCAAGGAAGCAGCACTTTCCAACACTGCCTGGAGCAGAGGTCTTTGAAGTGCAGCCCAGCAGCGAACTCAACCCCATATCCAACTCCAGCAGAACTACAAAGCCAGGTATTCAGGCATGTTTTCCAAAGCCCTGTAGTAATCCCCAGCTCACGGAGGGATATATGGCTTTAAAAGCCTCATTTGGTTTTATATCTACAGACCTTTCCAAGAGTTTCTCCTTGGCTGGAGGAGACGAGTCTTGGACTTTCCTCAACTGTAGCTATCTCTTCAGCTGGAGGTAGAGAAGCACCCACTTTGCAGAACATGGAAACTGAGAAATATACTTGTCGTAAGTTTTTCCTGGCATACCCCAAAACTCAGTTCCTATATTTGTGTTTCCATTAAATAAATGCAGCAGGTTAAAAGTGTCAATTTAAAGAGAAAGGAGGACAGACAAGGAGAAGGAGAGCTACCACCATACAAAAAGCTGGCACTCTTAAGGTGAAGAGAAGCGGAAGGTGAACTGAGATCATAGTGCAGTGCTCCAGGCAGAGAGAGAAAGGAAATGTGGTCCTAATTACTTTATAACTATCCCACATTTCACAAGTCATTTTAATGGCCCAAATGGACTGCTTTCAAGCTCAGAGCTAATGCTGGAGTGATATGGATAGAGTTCTCTCGCAGTGGGACATACGGTGCCAGAAAGCCCACTTTGARAAGAATATTATTATCTAAAATGACACTAATACATCCTGTTATTCCCTCATGCCATATCATGTGCAGAGAAGGGACCATGCTGTTAAGATGTCAGCATTCAGGCAGCATCTTTGTGAGGACTAAGTGAACACAGTAGCTGATGCGGAGTGGTCAGTTTGACACCCTGTACTAAGGGGACCCTTGCAAGTGGGTGTTGGGCACAATCTTCACCACTCTGGGAGGTTGCTGCCTGTTTTCGGGCTGACAGCACTGCAAACAGTGGAGCTGAGAGTTGAAGATGGAGCTGAGTGCTCCGTTGGTGGCATAAATCAGAGCTGTCTACTTGAGTTGCATCATCCTGACAAACAGAAGCAGGGCTGAGTGATACTTAAGCCAGTGGTTTGGTCCGGGGTTTCTCTGCTTTGTAATGTCTTCTTCATTTCCCTTGTATATCTTTGCATCCAGTGCTACATTGCTTCCTTGCTGATGGCAGCTTTCATAGGCACTGAAAGATTTGCCATGGCTTCTGGACACCTTACCAGAACTGGAAATGAGCTATGGAAAGCTCCATAAACTGTAACTGCTGGAGCTCACCTTGTGCCTTTAAAAATGTAATATTTTTCCCTTCCCTTTGTTTTTTTATTGGACTTTGAGCAAGGAGGTGAGAAGCAGGTTAAATGTTCTCCCCACATAATGAGTGTCTCTGCTGTGAGCTCATGGCTTGACTGCCAATGAAATAAATCAGAAAAGGGAAAGGAAACACAAATGCTGCTTTTTTCCTCTGCTAATTATTGAAAATCAAAAAAAAAAAAAAAAAACTCCCTGTTTATTATACACAGTGCTGGCATATGAGGAAGTGATTAAAGGTGTGATGTTGTTTAGTCCTCAGGTAACTGGCCTGTTCTGCAGAAAAGCTGCTTTTTTAGCAGAGCCTCAAACTCTTGCCCCTCTCATTGATTTAGTTCCTCACGATCGAATTCACCCTGGTATTCTTTGCTGCAGCAGGGAAGGATTTGGCCCTTGGAAGGCTCCAGGCCAGATGTTGCTCTTTTAATTTAATAACTGGAAGAGCAAGCCTCATTACCAGTTGGAAGCTTGTTCAATAAAGTAGATGGCTCTGTACTCTGCTCTAATGTGAGTACCTAACATTTTGTCAATGCAGATGACCTCATATCCCCCCCTTCCCTCCCCTCTTCTACTTTTCTAATATCTACACAG